TCAATTTCTTTCTTTTTCTTTCTTTCTTTTTCTTCTTTTGAGACAGTTTCAATCAGTTGCCAGGATGGCTTCAAACTTATGATCCCCCTTCAGCCTCCAGAATAGCTGGTATTACAAATACTAAATTTCTTTATGTTTTTCTAAGAAAAAAAAATGCTGCCAACTAAACTATGATAAGTGTTATGGTTTGGTTCTAAAATATGCCCCAGAATTCTGTGTGTGGAAGGCGCTTGGATCACAGGGACGGTATATTCATCAGTGGACTCAACCATTGACAAGCTCAGTATCTAAATTTGTTGTTAGGAGACAGGACCGGGGTGGTTGTGAGTCACTGAGTGTGACCTGGAAGGGTATATGCTGGTCGCTTGCCCCTCTTTGCTTCCTGGTTTCCATGATTGAGCCCTTAAGCCTCTGTCGTGTCCTTCTGCCATACTATTCCTGCCTTGGAGCCAGGTGACCATGAGTCAAAATGAACCTCTCCTCCTTTAAGTTGGGGTGTCAGTTATTGTGTCCAGTGTCAAGGAAAGTGACTGAGACAAGTCATCAATTACAAGCACAATCCTCCTCCAAATATGCTAAAATGGAAGGGCTATGTGTGCATCTCAAAGAGAATGGTTACCTAACAGACACAATACCCTGGGCTCAGTCCCCTAACAGTAAATATGAAAAGAAAAGCTACAGTGTAAAAAAGACAGTTTCTTAGGTCGGATAAAAAGAGATGTTGTCGGAGGTTCATACAAGGGTGGTACATACAGACAGAAAAGTAGAAACATAACAGAAATCAGGATTGTGGCCACTTCTTGGAGAAAAAGTTGGCTTTGTCATCCAGAAGGGCACACATTGCCGGGGACAGTGACAGGTGCATATCTGTATTCCTAGCTACTCAAGGGACTGAGGCAGAAGGATAGAAATGTCAATACTATCCAGGACAACTTAACAAGATCCTGTCTTAAAATAAAAAGTTACAGGTATAGCTTGGTAGTACAGTGCCTGTCTAGCAAGCCTAAGATTGGGTTCAATCCCTCGTACCATGGGGGGGGGGCGTTACACAAGACAAAGAGGTTTCTGGAGAACAGAAGTGGTTTTTGTCTGTGTGCTTGTTTTCACGGTGCTAGAGATTCACACTGAGCTACATCCTAGAATTTTTTTTTTAGGTTTTTTTTTTTTTTTTTTTAAGATGAGGTTTCACTAAGTTGTCCAGACTGAGCCCAAACCTTCAATTCTCCTACTTCAGCCTCCCAGTGTGCTGGGAGTGCAGGCATGGACCACCCTGCCCAGCTGCAGAAGTGTTCACGTTCTTAACCTAGAGAATCATTTATGATTATTCTTTAAACTGTGTTTGCAGATTTTGTTTGCTTTTCTAGGTCCTGTCTTCTCAATTTAGCAGGTCCTGCCTTATTTTAAGAACAGCCTAGGGCCAGGGATTTAGCTCAGTGGTACTGCACCTACCTGGCAAGCACAAGGTCCTGAGTTCTATTCCTGATACTAGGGAAAAAAAATTAGAACAGCCTAGCTGGGCATGGAGGCACATGCCTGTAATCTGAGCTACTCAAGTGGATGAGGCAAGAGAATTGCTACCAGTAAGTTGATTGAAAGGTAAGTGAGATTGGGTGTCGTGGTAAATGCCTATAGTCCCAGCATTCAGGAAGCTGAGGCAGAAGAATTGTCACAAGTTTAAGGCCAGCCTAGGCTACGGAGGGATTTCGAGGCTACCCTCAACTACATAGCAAGATCCTGTCCCCCAAAGAAGGAAACAAAAGTGAGTGAATCATGGTGTGGGGGGCACATAGCTGACTTGCTGTTGGGAGGTGGGGCCTGTTTAGAGGTGGGTCACTGCTGGCCTATCTGAAGGGAGGATCTCCTTTCCTGGCTCCTCCCTTTTCTCTCTGCTTTCTGGCTATCATGATGTGAACAGCTTTACCTCTGCCATAACTCTCTGCTGTGCCATTTCCTGCCTTTTTTAAGTTTTTAAAAAGCATTCTATTAGACCTAGGTAGGACATTAAAGTGCAAGTGGTCATGTTTACTATCTGATCAATCTGTTGGATATAGAACTGAACAAGGCCTTTATTCTTGCCATTGGTATTTATGGTAACTTCTGTGTTTTCTATTTCTACTTGCTCCCTGAATGGTTTTGGGTGGTGTTGTTTGATCGGTTGGTTTTGCTTTGTTATGTTTTTGTTGTTGTTTGTGGTACTGAGAATTCAACCCAGCGACTTCCCACTAAGAAACAACTCAGCTCCCCAGCTCTCATGACATGAGCAGATTTTCCTCTGCCATGCCACTCTGCCATGCCCCTCTGCCTTGGAGCCATCGGCTATAAGCAGGAGCCAAATTAACCTCTCCTTCTTTTAAGTTGTGGATACTGGAATTGTGTCTCAGTGACAAGAAAGTGACTAAGGCAAGAATCAAGCACAGAACCTCACATGGACTGAACTGCAAACAGACATTTGGAATGAATGGAGAATAATGTCTATCATGGATCCCAGTTATTAGGAAATAAAGACCAACACCACATAGTGCTCTGCCCACTGGGGTAATGTCCACTCCTGCTCTGAAGCTCAAGCAATGACTGACAAGGATGTAAGATACTTATAGCTTAGTTAGAGAGGTTGTATAATGTGAGTCAAAAATTAGACATGAACCCAAACCCTCACTTTTCATTTTGAAGTTAATTTCTGTTCATAGAGAATAGGGGATTAGTAGGAATGTAAAAGGAACCCTTCAACTTGACAACCCACTGACAAGACAGCTGAAACGTAGAAGACAGCAACCATTTTTCTTCTTTGCATTAAAAGTAAGTTGGTTTGGTTAACTCATGAATGATTAAATGGGATAATTTGCTCAAAGAAAAAAATTCTGTTCATCTTTGAATTTTTGAAGAAGAGAATTATAAGGCAATATAAGTCTATGAACTACCTCCACTTCTCATTGTCCTTAGCCAAGCTCTTCATTTGCTTTGCCTTCTCCCCACACCTTCCACCATGTTTGCTAAATATTGTTTACTTTTCTTACATTTACTCAGGTGATTGGTCTTTCTTTTAAATTTTAGTCTGCTAAAACTTAATTTTTAATTTTAAATGCCTAAATATACTCTTTGAATTAGGAATTAAGCCATTTTTATCATGTCAATTAAATTTTGTTAGTTTAAGTCAAAGCATATGTACGCTTGCTGTGAGGAAGCTGACACATTCATGCATTTTGCAGCTGAGTGATATTCCAGTGGACTGGGGATGTAGCTGAGTGGTAGAAGAACACTTGCACAATGTAGGCCCTAAGCTTGAGTCCCAGCACAGAAAGGACAGAAGGGAGGGAGAGAGAGAGGGAAGGAGGGAAGATTGATTCTATTGTGTCTATATAGCACATTTTATCTATTTACCCATCAGTGAGCATTAGGGTTGCTTTCACCTCTTGGCTATTTAAGTGGTGCTGATATGAACTTGAGTGTATATGTATTTCTTTGCAGTCATGATTTAATTTATTGGCTATGTACACAGGAGTGGGATTGCTGAACTACAGTATATGATCATTCTCATTCTTTCTTTCTCTTTCTTTCTTTCCTTCTTTCTTTCTTTTTGTGTATGTGTCAGGGATGGAATCCAGGACCTCACAATGCTAGGAAAGTGCTCTATTTTTCTAAGTTTTGAGGAAATTTCATACTATTTTAGAAAGTAGATTCACTATTTTACAGTTTTACTCTGGTTTGATTTGTGTCTCTCTGATTAGTAGTGATGTTAAGCATCTTTTCATATCCTCTGGCCACTTTTATTTTATGTATTTATTTATGTATGTATGTATTTATTTATTAGTACCAGGGATCAAACTCAGGATCTTGTGCTTGTGAGGCAGGTGGCGGTACCACTGTGCTAAATCCCCGGCCTTTCTGGCCACTTTTCTATCTTCTTTGGAGAAATATGTATTCAATGAATTGAAGGAGTTTTTTGCATATTGCAGCTACTAATTTGCTATCAGATATATAATTTACTAATATTTTTATTTTATTCTACTGGCTGCCTTTGCACTATGTTGATTGTGTCTGGTGTACAGAAGTTTGATGTGGTATCATTTATTTGTTATTGCTTTTGTTGGCTGTGCTTTTGGTATCATTTCCAAGAAATCATTACTAAGTCTGATGTTATGAGGATTTTCCTTTGTGCTTCTTTTAGGAGTCTTCTGATATTAGGTCTTAATATTTAGCGTTTTAATCCATTTTGAGTTAATTTTTTGGAGGGAGGTTCTGGGAATCAAACCATGGCCTCACACTTGCTCAGCACACATTTTTTCACTGAGCAATACCCAAGCCAGTGTTAATTTTTATATATAGTACCAAGTAATGATACCAGGTATCATTCTTTTGCATGTGGATATCTAATTTTTTCCTACATCATTTGTTGAAAAGACTGTTCTCCCATTGAGTGTCTTTGGTACTCTTGTCAAAATCATTCAACTATATTTATTATTGCATTCTTTCTGGGCTATTTTATTTCATTGGCTTGTCTGTCTTTAGGCAATTATCACACTATTTTTTCCCTTTTGGGCACTGGGGATCAAACGCAAGGGCTTGTACATGCTATGCAAGTGCTCCACCACTGAGCTACACTCCAAGCCCTGAAATATCCTGCTAAATCAGAAAATGTGAGCCCTCCAAATGTGTCTTTTCCAAAATGGTTTTGTTTGGTTAGTTTGGTTTTTTGATGTGCATAAGGATGGAACCCCGGACCTTGCGTATACTTTTTACCTTGGCAACATTCCTTGGAGATTTGTCTATCTTAGTACACAACATCTACCTCTATCATTTAAAGTACTGTATAATATATGCAAATGGTGCTATAATTTACTTTGGACATTCTTTAAAACAATTGTTATTTATGTTGTTCCTAATTTTCCCTTCTTTTGAGATTGCCTAAATGTTCTTTCAATTTTAAATAAATGAATGTGACTGATTAATCATAAAATGGCCTTTTAATGTCATTTTAGCTGACAATAAAGGTTGATACATACCTGTCTTAGAAAAGTTAGTGCAGAAAACTGTAAGAAAAAATATAAAACATATAATCTCATCAAAATGATGTACAATATAGCACAGATTTTGGAGGTTTATGATACAGAGCTTAAATTCTACATTCTCCATTTACTGTGTAAACCTAGCCAAATTACTCCACTTTTCTAAGCTCAGTTTCTGTAGGGAACAGGGAAAGGGAACATTACCAGAACCCCTGCAGTTAGTCCTGGTCTCCTGTGAGCCATGACAGCATGAGGCAAATTAATGAATAAAGACAGGATGAGACTTAAAGAAGCAGCTGAGCTTTGGGCCTGATCAATAGTGCTCTGGGCAGCAAAAATGAAGACACCCCAGAGCTTGCCACACCTTTTCAGTACATCTGGGAGTAGATGACTTAGAGGGCAGCAATAATCCTAGGACAATGAGGAATTTATGCTGATGAAGATACTAGGTCTACAAGGAATTTACGTTGATTAGGAATTTGTCTCTCCCAAGTGAAACCTTTCTCTTACAACTCGGTTCTCAAGGAACCAGGATGTCTTCAGCTGGTGTAATCCTGGAGGGTCACAGCATCACAGGGCCATTGAGGTTTTAGCTGTGACTGGAGGCAAAAGTGGAGTTATGTCTCAACATGCCATAGCCGGCCTGTAGGCAAGACTAGACCTGATCATAATTTAATTGTGAAATGGTTTTTCCCCAAAATTATGTAGAATTGCTCCTGAAGTTTCTTCACCTACAAAATAAAGACATAATATTTTCTGAATAGAATTTTTCTCATAATTTTATGAGATAACAGTATAGTGCTTAGCACTATATTCTATATCTACATGATATCATGTAGTGTAGGGTTCTATAAAGAAATGAGTAACTAAAATATGGTATATGTAAATAACAGAAACTTATGTGCCCATTAAAAATAATGAGGTAGGTCTATATACACCTAGGAATATTTCCTAGATATAAATTTTAAAACTATATATAATGATTTCAGGTTTTTAAATGTGCATATGAATATACATGAACATAAAAACAGTATGTATAGCATAAATGTCATACTATTATTATATATATAATAAAAGTCTGAAAAAAAATATGTGCCAAACTGTTAATGATTTTAGGGGAGAGGCATACAAAAAGAAATGAAGAGAGAAATTTCATTGTCTTTGCACTTAACGCATTAAGTAAATTTGTTACAATGAAGTACATTATTTTGTAATCACAAGAACAGCATAGTTTTTTTAATCTAAAGAAAATTTTTAAAAAGAAAAGGAACTTTAAATTATAGACTGTTTTACAATCTACAATTTGACAACACCTTTCAAAGAGCAATTTCAAACTAAAAACAGAAAAGCAAATCAGTCATTTGAGACCTTCCAATTGTATTCATTTTACAATAATATAAAGGCAGGTTCACATTAGTACAGCTCTGAAGGAAAATTTGTGAGACTCACCTGAGCTTTGTAGCCTCAAAGAATCAAGCGCCTCAGAATAACCACCTCCCCATTCTCCCCTGGTTTTTGTTTATTTGGGCTTTCTGGTCACCCCAGCTTTCTTTGTGCAAAATAGCAGCCCAGGTAAATCCCTCAGTCTCAGCTGCCCAGGACCACACAAGTAAACCATTGCGACCATGGTCTTCTCTTAACTCCTAAAGGTAAACAATGGTGAGGGTAAAGGCTATCGCCACAAATTGCGGGGTTTTCCATAATATGCTTAGAATGGTGCCATAAATTAATCAAAATATTAGAATTGCTATTTTCAAGATTTAGTTGAATTATGTTTACAGACCAAGAATATTTCTAAAAACAATTCTACTTATTCACTCAAGAAGAGACAAGAACTAACAAGTTAATAAAAAGTAACATTTTTTTAAATACTTTGAAAAGTCAGCACAAAATTACTAATGGCCACTCATTACTTTATAACTTCATCAAAAAAAATTGACTCTTCATGAACAACATGGAAATCACCAGGAATTCTTACAAAGCTCTACTAAGTAATTCAATGAAAGGTGAAACCAAATACATATTTAAAGGTGGAGGGGAGCTGGACTGGCAGGAGGAACATAAGATCATAAAATAGTTCAGATGCAAGAAAAAGCTCAGCTCCATAAACTTCTTCCTTATTTTTAGAAGGTAAGACATATGAGATGAATTGATATCTGAAATCAGTTGATCAACTTAGAATATACAAAATACAGTAAAGAAATTTAAAAAGCAATTATGTTGAAAAATTTAAGATTACACCAAAAGAAAGACTATAAGGCCAATATCTAGACAATATTTTTACTAGTCATTAATTTTATTAAAAGAGCACTAATATACAAAACCTAAAACAATTTTGTCTGATTACTTTATTAATGTATTGGGAATACTGTTATTAATGGAAAGATGCTATGTGGCTCAAAGACTCAGTGAGTCATTCCAGACCATTCAGGCCAGGATCATAGAAAAGGTACCTGGGTCTCCCAGGTACCACACCAGGACTAGATGACAGAGAAGTTTTTAATCGGATTAAGCCTCTATTATATATGGTCTCATAACACTAGTCAGGAATGCACAGTTGAAGAAGTCATATGTGAGCAGAAAAATGAAATTTATAAAAGGAATACATTATGCAAGTATTTGGAAAAAGTATATTCTATGCTCAAGGAAAGATGACTGTATAGGTCTGAGATAAGATTACGCTAAACATATGTCAGGAAGAAAAAAAGAGATTGGACCAGACCAAAATGAAAGATTCTGAGAAAAGTAGGTCACAGATTGGACAGACAGACTTTTGGGAATAGATCTTGTGCAGCCTATGGGACAGATTTAATTCTCAGGATGCTGGGACGTGCCATTGGAGGGTTTGAGAAATTAGAGGCAAGAGTGAAAGCGTAGATGTCAGCTCTAAGGGCAACTGCAGTGGTCCCAGAGTGAGAATGTGATGTGGACCACGGCGGTTGTAATAGATGTTCTACAAGGAGTACAAAGGTCAGAGAGAAGCAGGCTCGAGCCCAGGCCTGGGGATTGGAGTAGGGCTGTCCAGAAATCCCCTGGCTTAGCTTCAGCAACTCTCCCCCTCGCCTTCTACCTTCCAGGCTGTACTCAGGAAGCAAAATGATAAATCCACCAGAGAGTTAAGATCCAATAACCCCAGTTCTGCCACTTACTAAATACATAACTTAGAATTTTTATTTAATAATTTAATTTTCTTTATCTTGTCCATCATCCTCATCTGCAAATCAGGATACTACTGTCTATCTCTTAGACTGTTATGAAGATTCAGTGCAAAATGCCCAGAAAAGAGCCTGCCCTCTGACATAATAAGACCAATAGTACTGTCTAGTAGTATAATTACTAGGTGTTTTCAATCTCTTGAGTATACTGTCACTCTCTTAGCTCTAAATCTGACATCAGCTCTGTCTTATACCTGGAATATACTTTAAGTTAGTTCATCCCAAACTCATCCTCCAGTTCTCAGCCCCAATCAATAGCAGCTCTCCCACCTTCCCATGATAGCTCCCCTCCCTTAGGGACTCCCATCATACAGAATTTTACAGTAATCATTTAGCTTGTGGTTTGCTTTTCCTTCTAGATTAAAAACTTTGTGAAGAGAGGAACTGTCCTTGTTTGTCTTGTCACATCCAGATCTTCAAAGCCTGACACAATGCCTGGAAAAACAATGGCAATAAATACAGAAATACTTCAGTTCACAAACACTTCTGTTTGCAAACAATTCAGTTTATAAACAAAAGCATTCAGCAAAACTTTTGCTTCCCTTCACAAACTCTGCATTGGATGACAAACACAATCGCATGCAGCCATCTTCCCAAAACTGTAAAACAAATTAAGTTCATAAGCCGAAGTACGACTGTGAATGTTGACATCTCTACCTAGCAACCTTCTGATATTGGCAAAGGAGAGAATGTGATGAGTAAATCCAGGACCACATTAATGACTTTTGGGGTTCAAATCATTTTTACCTTTGCCTTTGTAGATTCATTAAAATTTTTTTAATTATATTTTATAACTATCTTAGTCAAGTAAATGTAATCTGGACTGAAATTTGTTAACATATTTGTTGTTATTGTGTATGTACACAAACAGAAGTATAGACATAGATTTTTTTTTTAATTAGATAAGATCTCATGTTTCCAGGCTGATTCCTGCGCTCAAGTATTTCTTCTACCTCAGCCCCCAGCCTTCCAAAGAGCTGGGACTATAGACACACACCATTATATATTTTTTAAACTCTGATTTTAAGAGAAATTAAAATAAAAAGGTTTTCCCCCCACTGGGCACTATACCTACTATACTTAACTAGATAAGCTGGCCCTGCAAGCATTAGCAATAGAAAAGTCAAAAGTAGAGGGTATAGCTCTCAGTGGTAGAGCACTTGCTTAGCATCCATGAGGCACTGGATTCGATATCTAGCACTACAAAAGTACTCTCATGTGCAAATAGAGTTCTGATTCCAACTTACTAAATAACTGGAAAGTTCTGAGTGCAGTAGGATCCAGGATTGGCTGACTCAATAATTCAACAGTATACCACATCCCCAGCTTTTGCCTTTAAGGCTCATGTTTCCTCTGTCCACAGCATCAGCTTCCTGCAGAGGCTGGAGCCTCTTGCGGCCATCAGATAAGCATCTGCAGAAATAGGGCAACACAGCTCCTTGTGTCATCCAATGACACAGCCAAGGATTTTTAGTTCTTCCTTTCTAATTGAGCCAACTTCAGTCATGTGACTTCCCTGAACCATGTCTCTCCCCTGAGAATTCCTCCTCCTGGCAAATCAGGGCCCACCCCAGAGTAGGGACGTGGCGTATACCAGAGGGAATGTGTGATAGCCCATTCCACAGTTCCTGAACCCTCTTGGCACATCAAGGACATAAAAGGGTCAAAGGAGAATCTTAAAGGCAAGGAGGGGTTTGGGGGGAAAGCCATGTCATGAGGCTCATCCCTACTCCCCTCCTCTTAAGGGGTAAAATGGAGGTGGTGTGAGGGACTCTATGGGGCTACTCAGGGAGCTTAAATATGATCCCCCATGAGTACCATAGGGCTGGGATGGATGCCTAGAAAATTTAAAGGGCTCTCTATGGGTCATATTATCAAGTCACAAATGACCTCCACATTGCTAAATACAAAGATCAACATGCAGTCTTCTTTTAACACACCTGCATGAGAAACAGTTTAAACACTGTCTTTCCCAGTATGGCATGGTGGTGCACACCTGTAATCCCAACACTAGGGAGGCTGAGGTAGGAGGATTGCCATGAGTTTGAGGGCAGCCTGTACTACCTAGTGAGTTTAAGGACAGCCTGAACCACATAGCAAGACCCTGTCTCCAAAAATCAAAAAACAAAATAAAATGAACACTGGCTTCCAACAGAACAACGTCCTCCGACCTCCATTCAGTCAGTCTCAGTCTCTTGCCAGCTCCTTCCATATTCCCAACCCTGGATAACAGAGTACTCCAGGACCCAGTCCTTGGACTTCATTTTCTCTATCTACACTCATTCCCTCTTCTTGCTAACAGCTTCCAAATGTTCGTCTCCAGCTCAGCGCACTCCCCTGAACTTGAGATTCATATATCCATTGACTTTTGAAAGTCTCCACTTGAGTATCTAATAATATTTCAAAATGTCAAAAACAAGTTCCGGATTTTTTTCCTCCTAAAACTTGCTGCTCCCTAACTTCTCCGTCTCAAGCAATGGCATCCTTCCATCTGCAAAAAGAAAAAGTTGAGGGATCACCCTCAACTTCTCTCCATTTCCTACGCTATATCTAACCGACCAGCAGAAGTATTTTTTGCCATTTCTATCTTCAGAATATACCCAGTACTACCTACTGGGTATATTCTTTGCTGCCCAGAGCAGCATGGATCGGGCCAAAGCTCAGCTTCTTCTCTAAGTCTCATTTTCTGTCTTAATTAATTAATTAATTTACCTTATGTTGTTGTGGCTCACAGGAGACTAGGACCAATGCAGAGGTTCTAGTAACATCCCCTTTCCCTGTTCCCTACATGTTTGCTTCTTTTTTGTTTTTGTTGTTGTTGTTTTTGTTTGGTTTTTGGTACCGGGGATTGAACTTGGGACCTTGCACTTGCAAGGCAGGTGGCAGAACAACTGACCTAAATCCCCAGCCCTGTTTTTTTGTTTGTTTGTTTTGTTTTGTTTTGGTACCAGGGATTGAACTCAGGACCTTGTGCTTGCCAGGCAGGTGTGATGCCACTGAACTACATCTGCAACCCTTAAAGTATTTTATCATTTACTTATTCATCTTATCATTCTTTCCCCACAAAAATACAGACCCTATGAAGACAGGGATTTTTGTTTTTTGTTTGTGTCTTTTTATGTTTGGGGGGTTGTTTTGTTTTGATGGTCTGGATTGTTAAATGCTGTCTCTCCAATACCTAGAACAGGGCCTGGGATATAGTAGGTAAATAATAAATATTAGTTAAATGAGGGCATGCCTATATTGTTCCAAATGGTTACACATTAAGTGTATCTTTCGCAAGAAGGAAACATACATTTATCCATTCTACAAATATGGATTCACAGCATACTAGATTCAGGGCTAGTTGGGAGTACAAAGCATATCTAAGGCACATGAGGCTAAGTCTAGGGAGGGATGATCAGAATGGCAAAATCATTGTTTGAATGGAGGAAGGAAGGGACATAGGTCTACAAAAGCATATCAAAAAGAACGCTGGTCCTGTCTGGGTGAGATAGAGGGTAGTGGAGAGAAAGTGTATTTGTCAGCTTTCCTATTGCTGAGATACCATACATAACACCCACAATCTAAAGAAGAGGTTTAATTTGGTTATGGTTCTGGGGGCTCAGTCCAGGCTATTTCCATGGCAAAAAATCATGGTGTAAAGGTGTGGTGACGCAAAGTTGCTTAGTTCATGGTGGCCAGGAAGCAGAGCAAGGGAACAGTGCCAGATAGGAAGGGGCAAGGGACCCGTCTAGACCTCAAGGCCACACCTCCATGACCCAACCAGAAGTGTGCTGCACTCATCTGTTGGGCAGATCCCAAAGCCAGACAAGTTGCCGCTCAACCCTAACCACCACAGGAAAGACCTAAAGGGTCAAGAAGGCCACAGGAGAATGGTACCCAGGCTTCACATCAAGTGATTTTCTAAGATTTCATTTGAGATTGCCTCAGCCCAATAACAAAAGTACAAGAGGCATATTCTACCTTACCTGATGATTTCAAGAAAGTAAGAAAAATCAACACTCCTTACAGAGAGTAAGGGTGAGGAAAAGTAGAGGAGTAGTATAGAGCACAGGAGACTGTGTAAGCAAGGGTCCAGAGAGAGGAGGAGATTGGACTCTACAACCTAGATAGCAAAGGGAAAGTAGTAGGAGAAATACTAGTAGGAGAAGGGGCTGGAAGGGAAAATATGGGTGGGCCTGGCAAGTTCCCAACAAATTCTAACTATATACCCCCAAAATATGAAATTTAAATAGGGATTGCTTTCTTTATGCTCTACTTTATTTTCTTCTGTTGCATTTGTATTGCAGGGACATGACCAGACTTATATTTTGAAAATATGGCTAATACTGCCCTTGTGGAGAAAAACTGGAGGAGGTACCTGAGCAGATGCAAGGTCAGCCAGGAGACTGCAGAGCAGCCTACAGGAGCAGTGCTGAGAACTTGCCTCAGAGAAGAAGCAGACAAATTGGGAGAAGGCAATGGGTTCAAGAGGTTTTACACCCTTGGGAAAAAAATATGTAAAGAATCATATTAACCAGGCATTCTTACTTTCTGTATTTCTGATGCTTTGACATCAGGTCTTCCTGATTCTGAAGGGATCTCTCCTCCCAGAGACAGCTAATCCTTAAATATGGTGGTGGTTCATCAGTGGACACACCTTTTCTTTGCAACCAGTCCATCTGGAGCCCTCACTCCACCCACCTCCTCTAGGGGGAGCTCACATTCAAAACCACTATCCACCCACCCTAATAACCCCAGTGCCAGGCATGGGAAAGTGAGGGAGGGCCCCTACAGCCCAGAGATTGCTGAAATTATTTGAACTAACCAGCCAAAACCTGCTGACCCTGCCTTACACAGTCCTTTCTGTGGTAAACAAAATAAAAGCTCTTACCCTCATTTTTTTCTACTTTCTCCACCTCCAGACTGAACCTGGTGCTGCACTGTACAGCTCTGGATGACATACTGTACCACCTGCTGTAAGGGACCTATACAGTATAAATGTCTTCCTTAGCCAGGTGTGATGGTACACACCTGTGATCTTAGCACCTAGGAGGCTGAGACAGGAAGATCACAAATTTAAAGCCAGCCTGGGCTACATAAAGAGATCCTGTCTTGAATAAATAACAACAGAATACATTTTCCTTCAAAACAGTCATTCCTGTGTCCTGCATCTTCCCATACCCAATTAAAATAGATCCTAAAATGGGTACCCTCTACTACATTAAATAAGAACATTTTTAAAAAATAAAAAGTTTTCTCAATTTATTCTAATTTAAATGAGGGAGTCGATGGTAAAGTTTAAACAAAAAAGCCTTTCGTCAGTATCCCCAGTGATGGCTTCTGCAACACAACTGTATCGGCCCTAAAATAAGGAATAAGAAACACAAAAATGTTAGATCTAACAATCAAAAAAATGTTACCTGCTACTATTTTAAAGGTGTTATAAGAACATTGTCTTACCAGTAGAATGCCATTCAAATAGAACTAACTGGTCATCATTTCCTTATGATGGTGGGAATCAAACCAGGGCCTAGCGTATTCTCTACCACTGAGCTAAGACTCCCAGCTGGATATTGTTTCTTAGTTTTCCAACAAGAAGCAATTTTGCATGCCTTTTAATTCAGTGAGCATACAGTCCATTTATTTCCAAGTTATAAGATGAGGTATATTTATAATTTTTTAAAAATAGCCTACAAGATTTTCAAATATTATTATGTCATTTGTAACAAATAAGAGCACTCATTACTAATGTTTATTTTAAAATAGGCACCAAAAGTGAAATGTGTAAATCGCATTGCTATGTGTATGAATGCAAATATTCAAATTACAATGGTATTCATTGAAGAAGTAGTTATTTTTACCAAGGCCTGAACATTCAAGCTAAATTCCCCCCAAAAATTACACAAAAGTAAGGCTATAATTTATGTTATTTTTATCCTCCCAATTTTAACAATGTATGTAATATATTACATGAATAGTTATAGAATTACTGACTTATGTAACAATTGTTGCTGTCATGGCTTGTGTTTAGATGCCCCACCCCCACCCCCAAGGCCTCATGTGTTCTTAAGTGGGGATTTTTCAGAGGTGGCTGGAGCTAGAGTGTATGAATGATACATAGTACAATGCTGGGATTAAGGGTATGTAACCACCACAGGAAATCAGTCTACTGATTGGTTTGGCACCACTCTAATCCCCATAGCCTACACAGAGTATCAAAAGACCAGACAAAAGCTACTAAGGCTCCTTGCTTGCTCTTGCCTGCTCTTGCCTGCTGGCTTGTTATAAACTATTTCTCTTCCACAGTGCCCCTCTGCCATGCCACCCTGCCTTGGAGCCAGCCAACTATGAGCTGAAACTTCTACAAACTGTGAGATACATAAACCTTTTCTCCATTAACTTTGGGTATTGGGTACTTTGCCTCAGCAGCAAGAGATGTAACTAAGACAGTTGCCCAGTGTTTTCATATGAAGACCAACAGAGTAATAGTGAATGTTCTCCTTATATTTAGCTATATATGTTGGAAATAGAAAATGAAGTGAAAAAGAGCTTTTTGATTTAGTGCTGAGGATCAAACCCAGAGCTTCAGGCATTCTTGGCAAGTATCCTACCTGTGAGCCACATATGCAGCCCCCTAAAAAACTACCTTTTGTGCAACTTTTCCATTCTATAGAAGGAATAAATTTCCATTCTATAGAAGAGAATGATTTTTCCATTCTGCAGAAGGAAATAATACCTAAAATATAAAATTCTTGAACATCTTAATTTTGAATCATTTTTAGAAGTCATGAATTGCTTGCTTCAAATTCTTAACACATCTGTTACTGTAAAAATGCTAAGAAAGTACAAAATAAATCTTGAACAATACCTTAGCAAATAGTATTCCCTTGAAGGAGAAGGACACTGTTGCATTCACAGTCTCTGCAAACAAGATACAAAATGTAAAACATTACGAATCATCATTAGGTGTTGTTTATTTTTTGGTAGTATGCAGTGTGTTGTTACGGTCTACATTTACTACTGGCAGAGGTTGCCCCAAATAGAAGCATAAAGAAACAATGAGGAGCCGGGCATGGTGGCAAACACCTGTAATCCCAGCACTTAGGAAGCTGAGGCAGGAGGATCTCTGAGAGTTTGAGACAAGCCTGGGCTACATAGTGAGTTCCAGGGCAGTCTGAACTATATAGTGAGACTCTGTCTTAAAAAAAAAAAAAAAAAGAAGAAGAAAAGAAGGAAACAATGAACCCCATACTCTGGCTGCCCTTCTGTGGCTTCCTCTGTCCCCCAGATCCCTCTCTTTATCATCCCTAAGGGATGTGAAATCTTACAACCCATTGGTCCCAATAATGAATGAATGGAAATACCCTCCATCCCAGGCTATATACACGCATATTTAATTGCAGTTTTCAGAAATAATGCTGTATCTTTAGCAGAATATAATGAAGAATCTTCCTAAAGGTAGAAGAATATTTCAAAGGCAGTAAGAATACTGAAGTTCCCTCCAGTCACACCGCTGAGAAGCCTAGGAATTTATCCTCTGTGTATATGTACAGACATGAGCTTGGTCCTACGAGACATGCAGGAAAAATAAGACTTTTTATTTATTTATTTATTTTCTTGGTACCAGGTATCAGATTCTGGACCTTGTGCTTGTGAGGCAGGTGGCGGCACCACTGAACTAAATCCCTGGCCCAAGACTACTTTTCTTTTTCTTTTTTTTTTTTTTTTTTTTTTTGAGACAGGGTCTCACTACGTAGTTGAGACTGACCTGGAACTCACTATGTAGCCCAGGCTGGTCTCGAACTCACAGCGATCCTTCTGCGTCAGCCTCCCAAGCACTGGGATTACTGGCATGCACCACCACGCCCAGCTCCAAGACTGCTTTTGTAATCAGGCACAACAAAATAGTAAACTTGAAGTGGAGGATGGAGTGTGATAAGATTGAAAAGATAGAAATATTTTTAATGTGAAACAAAAAATAATAACCAAAAATCTTTTTGAAAATAATATAGTCAAACGTAAAACTGTAATGGTTATTTTCTTAGATCTGGCTACAGACAATCCTTAGTAGCAAGTGAATAGATTATGCCTCCATTATGGTGGTACCTCAGTTCCTGAACTTAAGTACTTCCATGATTCTGACTGTAAACAGAATTGGACGACAATCAAATTAAATTTTCCCATAAAGTCAACTCGGATAATAACCATTCAATTTGATTCAGTTTTCATTCAGTTATCATAAAAATTTATTTAATTCTTAGAATTTTTATTAAGGGTGTTAATACAGTGAGATGCTTCCTAAGCTTAATAAAGTGATTGTGTCTTCATAATCTTAGCTCTTTCATTCAAGGCCAATCCAATTTACAATTTAACATTTCAGTAAACACTTATCTAATGCCTACTATGCTCCAGAGACAAGAGAGACAATGCTTAGTACAACACTGTACCTTCCTTCAAAGGGCTAAAGTCAACTGGGTATGCAGACATGGGAATAAACTAGTCCAAGTATAATATGAGATGGAAAAGATGTAGGAAGGACAAAGGCAGTATAGCTTTCTACATCAAAGATAATATAGGAAAAGTGATGGTTCTGGGTTTGAATCTTATCTCCTCCACTAACTTGCTATGTGACCTGGGGCAAGTCACTTAACTTCTCCTTGCCTCAGTAAAAAGGTAAGAGGTACTAATGCTTACCTCTTAGTATGATTATGAGGGCTGTAGAAGTTACTATATGCTAAATGCTCAGGGAGATGCTTGGGACTCCGCACTAAAGTTATTAAATGTTTGGGGTTTTGAGAGATTGTTTGGTTGGGTTTGCTTTTGGCACTGAGGTGGAATCTAGAGCCTCCCACATGCTAACCATGCACAAACTAAGCATGCGCTCTCCTGCTGACGTACACCCCCAACTCCTAAATATTATTTATTATGTTTCTTGCTATTCTTTCTCCTTTCTAGGCCTCCTTCCCTTACTTCCCTCCTTCCTTTCCTTGTCCATAATAATAATATCATATTGTTATTGATATTATATTAATTTTATAATTTAGGTAGTTTAATGCCAATCTCATCCATCTTTTGGTATATCTTGTTTCATTACTTCATTACCATTTTTTTTCTTCTACACTGCCACTTTTAAACACAAACAACACACCTGCCTGGCAAGTGCAAGGTCCTGAGTTCAGTATCCAGTACTGGGGGAAAATATCACAAACACAAACAGCAAACATTTCACTCTGAGGTAGAATCATTTAAATTACATAATCTGTACTTCATGGCTCAACCCTAGAAGATGTCTTGAGCTGAACAGAAGAAATTGCCACAAGCCAGACTCAAGAAGTTGGGAAGGAGGAAGAGAAGGTCCCTCAGGCACAGAATAGCCTGAAGGAACATTCACCTGACAGGGTCTCCCTCCTATGAGTGGCCACAGCATCCCTGTCCCAGTAAGGGAAGAAAAGGAAAATCTGGCATCTTTCCCTCCTCCCATGTGTCCCATGGGTAAGCCTCTAAGGTACTGCGACTTCTGTAATACCTCCATGCACTATCTATTGGGAGAGGAAGAGGAACATCCCTACCTAGTTACCCACTGAACAGGTGCCAGCATGGGTTGTGGGGAAACTGAAACTCTCACCTAAGAATAGTATGTGGGAAACTAGAAGTGGTTAAGAACAAGGAGTTAATCTATCAACTTGATGTCAACAGAAACATGGTGACCAGAGAGAGAGAGCATTCTGGCCCAGCATGCATGTGAATGCCTTGTGATCTTTATCTTAGGATTGTAAATCATTCTCTTGTGGTGTCTTTCTGCAGATGTTTCTTGTGTAGATTTTGCTGATAATGTATGTATAAATAACCAGGTTTGCCTCAAATAAAGTAGACAGTCTTTTGTCTCCACTCTGCCTAGAGTGTCTTTCCTTTTCAATCCTCACTCTCTCCTTCAGGTACTGTTCGACTAGTGGGAGCTGGTCCCCCACAATGAGTCAGGTCGCCAGCATTATGCCCCACCTCTGACACTACAGGGCATCTATACCTGATCTTGTCCCTACCAGTACCCAAGACCCCACCAAGGACAGAGGATGGCAGGTGTCAATGGATGGGAATGGGGAGGTTGGTGCCAGGCAGAATCCAGTGTGGGCAGCAGGAAACAAAGAACCCATCAAGTAGGAAAGATGGCTACATACCTATTGCCTCATCAGACTTCACTTACATATATACACTCCAAAAAATTAAGAATATCAAGACTAAGGGGCCAGGGATTTAGCTCAGTGGCACCACATCTGCCTCATAAGCTCAGGGTCCTGAGCTAAATCCCTGGTACCAAAACAACAAAAAAAAAAATATCAAGACTACAATTGTAACGTGTTTTTGAAAGATGTAACAGAAGTATGTGTATAAAAGGTGGTAAGATTTACACATATGTGTCCGATTTATTTCACTTAAGAGTATGGTCTCTAGGTGAGTCTATTTAGCTATAAATGTCTTAGGTTTATCATTCTTTATAGAAGACTGGTATTCCATTGTGTAACACACACACACACACACACACACACACACACACACACACACACATCTTCTAGACCTAGAATAGCAAAAGCAATTCTAGGCAACAAAGATATGACAGGGGATATCACAATCCCCAATGTGAAACTATACTACAAAGCCACTGTGATAAAAACAGCATGGAATTTGCAAAGAAACAGACCCAAGGATCACTGGAATAGATTATAAGATGCAAAAATAACTTCAGACATACTAAGCCACTTCCTCTTTGACAAAAGAGCCAACCACACTCACTGGAAGAAAAATAGCCTCTTTAATAAATGGTGCTGGAAAAACTGGATTTCAGCCTGCCAAAGATTAAAACTAGACCCATATCTTTCACCATCCACTAAGCTAAAGTCAAAATGGATCAAAGACTTAAATATTAAGACAGAAACACTAAACTTACTGGAAGATAGGTAGGTAGAACTCTCGATGACATTGGAATAGGAAAAGACTCTGAACAAAACCTCAGTATCACTGAAACTAGCACAAAGAATCAACAACTGGGATCTCATCTTATTAAAAAGCTTCTGGGGCCCGGGATTTAGCTCAGTGGTTCTGCCACCTGCCTCACAAGCGCAAAGACCCAAGTTCAACCCCCGGTACCAACAAAAAAAGCTTCTGCACTGCAAGAGAAACCATCAACAGAGCTAAGAAACAACCTAAAATGTGGGAAAAAATTTTTACTAGCTGTTCCTCAGACAAAGGACCACTATCTAGAATATATAAAGAATTTTAAAAACTCAGACCCCCCAAATTTAAAGATCCAATTCAAAAATGGGCATCTGAAATGAACAGGCATTTCTCAGACAAAGATATAAAAGCAACAAATAAACATATGGAAAAATGTTCATCACTGGTCATTCGAGAGATGCTGATGAAAACAACACTGAGATTTCACCTCACCCCAGAAAAAATGGCCGCTATCAAGAAATCAACCAACAAATGCCAGCGAGGTTCTGGGGAGAAAGGAGCCCTTCTTCATTGTTGGTGGAAATGCAGACCATTGTGTAACCACTGTGGATATCAACATGGAGATACCTAAAAAAACTAGGATTAGAGGTCCCATTTGATGCAGCTATTCCCCTGCTGGGTATCTTCCCAAAAGAATTATACCACAGCAATATATGCACACCCATGTTCATAGCAGCACAGTTTGTAATAACTAAAACTTGGAAACAGCCCAATTGCCCATCAATTGGAGACTGGATAAAGAAGATGTGGGTTTTTTTTTTAATAAAATGGAGTACTACTCAGCCATAAAGAATGAGAAACTAGAGACATTTATAACTAAATAGATGCACATTGAGGCAATACTCAGTGAAATAAATAGGATATACAGGTGTAAATACTGAATAGTTTCTCTGGAGTGAAAAACAAAGTGT